TTATGAGGTTTGACTAAAAGTTAAGTTAGGCCATATAACTCCACAGAAAAGCAGACAGTACATAAGGAGAAAGTGGCACCATTCCAAGAGTTCAAGTGTGAGAATGCCAGTAAGAACTGTTGTTATTCTGGGAGGAAATTTTAGCCTTGGATCTCCAGAGTCATTTCAGTTGGCAGTATTAGGAGATTCAACCAGTGAAGGGTAATTTACATTCACTCTAAGGGCAACATTTAAGACTATATTAGAAAGAAGAAATACACAAAGAATATGCATCTTCTTATAACATTAGTGTAACCTTGGGTTGCTGAAAATTTCAACTTAAAATGTTTAAAATACCTACCAGCTCAGTCGCAAGGAATCAACAAACAGTGCCTTGTTTTATTGACAGAAAACTTCTATGGTGGATGTTGAGCTTAAATTTTGAAATTACTGCTGATTTCAGTGCTATTTATACAACTGCTTAAGTTGTTTACTTCTTCTCTTGGAAAGGCCTTCTTTATCTGACTATGTAGTATTAGGGCTTTTAATAAAATAAGTTATAAATGGTTAAAGCAAGCATGTATTTGTGGAGGGGAATGTGAGGGCAGATAATATATTTCAAACCTTAGTTAATTTGAGTACATTGTTTTCATTTAGTCCCTAAGTTGTGTCTGACTCTTTGCGACCCCATGGACTGTAGCTCCCCAGGCTTCTCTGTCTATGGGATTTCTTAGTCAAGAATACTGTCATGGGTTGCCATTTGCTTCTCTGAGGGATCTTCCCAACCCAGGGATCGAACTCACGTCTCCTGCATTGGCAGGCAGATTTTTTACTGATGAACCACAAAGGAAACCCAATCAGAGTATAGGTTCAAATTAATCTCTATAATAGTAGATATGAGAGAAAAGAGGCTTTCTATTCTAAGTAAATACACAGCTTAACATGATAACATTTAATATCTCAGAGCAGATATTTACATCCTATCTGTTTTTAATTTCTTTAGAAGAAATACAAATCACTTCTACCTTTGTACCGAAATGGATTTTTGGCATAGACTATACTATGGTTCACATTATAATATACAGCTGAATACACTATTTTACAGATATTTTTATTAAAGAAGAGGTATTTAACCATTAGAGCTTCCCTGGTAGCTCGGCTGGTCAAGAATCCACCTGCAGTGCAAGAGACCTGGGTTTGATTCCTGGGTTAAGATTCCCTGGAGGAGGGCATGGGAACCCACTACAGTATTCTTGCCTGGAGAATCTTCATGCAGAGAGGAGCCTGGTGGGCTGCAGTCTATGAGGTCACAAAGCGTCAGATAGAACAGAGTGACTAGGCACAGCATAGCATTTACCCATTAAGTCCAAAGAAGTGAAGTGACTTGCCAGGGTCATAAACAAATTCACAATAGCTCCTAGAATCCAGGTTCTAGACTCTCCATCTTCTCTCTAAACCCATGTTTTTTTCACTTTTCACCACTTATTTCAGAGATTTGACTAGAATATTATGCTGATTAAGAAGTAAATACTATATAACTGCCAAACAAAACTTCCAACCTAATAAAGTACAGAAGCCTAGGGATCTATGAATCTGAACTTTCCAGAGAACCCTCAAGTCTGTGACATAAAATGAAATGTGACTGAGACTTTATGTGCAACAACACACGCTGTCAGACCAGGATGCAGAATCAAGTCAGGCAGAGCTGGAGAAGTGTCCAGGACCTGCTGTCATCGTCATCTACTCTGCTTCTCCTAGCATGAATGAATCCTGCTCTGCCAATCTGTGATTTTGTTTTTCCTGATAAGATAATTCTTCTGGTTTATTTCCTGCTGTGGAAGGACTGACTCTTCTTAGAGGTCTGCTGTTCTCTGTTTGCTCATTATTAGAGGATGGGAAGAAAAAATTATCAAGTGGTTGAACTGAGTTCTCAGAGGCTTTGCATGTCCTAAATCCACTAGTTGAGGCTCAGAAAAGTGGCAAGCACAAGAAATTAGATGCCGTAACTGGATTTTTCAGCTAAGAAGTCCAGACGCCCGTGGGCAGGAAGGAGGCAGCTGTGGGCAACAAGGAGCACTGTAGCCAGCCTCTTAATTTCGGTAGCCTTTCCTCCATCTCCATACGCACTAGCCCAGAGCATGGACTTTAGCAGGGCTCTACTGGAGGCCCTCTCCACTTACTAGCCACTTACAACCCTTTCCACTTACTTTTCAATGCCATATCTATTATATGCTAGAGGAGTTATCAGTTAAAACACAGACTTTCCCATCTGCAAGGAGCTATGAAGGCAACCTGGACTCAGGAAAAGTAAAATGATCAAATCTGCATTTAAAAAAGAGCTCTCAAGTACTTTATTCTTGCATTGTTTCACATATGAAAGCACGTACCTGTTCTGTGATTTGAAAAATATCAAATAAAAGGGCTCCTGCCTTCAATGTAGAGGAGAGCTTAGAGAACAGGCAAGATGCTAGCAGGGAGAAAGGTCTGGAGAGTAATCAGTAACACAAGGGAGAAGTGAACAAAGGTTGAAAGGAGTTAACATCAAATGGAATTGAGAGGAGTAAAGAGACTCCAATATTAAAGCGGTACCATCAGTAAGGCAAACATTGTAGGTCAGAGACAAAAAGGTAAACAGGAGAACTTTCAAATATGGGACTTAGGTAGATATTAAAGAGGGATTTATAAACAGAAAAAAGGGTGGGATAGAAAATTGTATATATTATATGAACACTGCATACATTACATGTTTTACAAAAATATGCACAGGACATTCATCAAATGATAGCAGTGGCTGGCTGTGCATGACAGGCCAATCACTTTTTATCCTCATTCTTTCTTACCTCTTCTAAATTTACTAAGACTATGTACTTTCTGGTAAACTGTGTGTATTTTTGAAGCACACACATCTCAAAACTTTAGCCTAATTAACAAGAATTCTACAGTTGTAAAACTCCCTTAAGAAAAACCGTTCAAAAAAAAAAAAAAAAAGAAAAACCGTTCAGATGGTGAACCATTCTATGTTTCATAAGCATATTATATGATCTATAATTAATGCTCATGTCTGTGAGATCTGACAGTGAAATTGTAATGGTGAGCAATCATTCTAGTTGTGAATTATTTCCTTTTTTCCAATTCTGCAAATTCACTAGCTAAGAGAGGTGACAGGGCTGAAAGCAGGTATCCTGCTGACAGTTATCAAACTACCTAGTAAACACTGCAGACATTTACCAATTGCATGCTGCTGCCTCAGGGTGTTGCCGCATACACACGCATGACTGACTCTCACTTCCAGTGTCATCTTCTCAATAAGACCGACCAGGATTATTTTAAGAGAAACATGCCCGTCACCACCACCACTATAGGATTCCTGATCTTCTTTTACTTCTTTTGTTTTCAATATACTTATCACCTAATGTACAATACAATTTATTTATTACATTTATTGTGTGCCTCACCTCCAAGAATGTAAGCTCCTGAGATCACATGTGGAGTTTTATTGTTGCTGTTCTCAAATGTATCCCTATACCTAAATGGATCCCTATACCAGAACAATGCCTAGCATATAGTGGATGCTTAACAAATATTTGTTGAATTAGTACTTGTATGAGTGAATAAAGGCATGAAAGAATACATGAAAAAAAAAGAATTAACTACTAGGTTAAAAAGCATACTCAATTATTTTACAAATGAACATCAGTTGTTAGTACTCTTTATAAGTCACTGGTTCTCTGCTTCAACATTTGTAGAGACTAATTTAGCCTACGGGGTTCAACAAAGTTTACTCTTTGTATTCATGTCTATTAAAGTTTCTTTCAGATTCAATAAAAGAATTAATTATATATATCAAATAACTTCTCTAATTAGTTAAAAGTATAAAAATTAAATAGTATAAGCTTAACAATAAATGGTACAATAACATTCTATTTTTTGTAATCAGAGTTTTCAGACTGACTCATTTAAAAATGTTCACTTATTACTGAGGACCACAGGGACAGTTTGCTTACACTTTCCCATTTAACCATGTTGATAGGTTGGTTGGTTTTCTTTTTTCTTTTTCAATCATTAGTTATGAATTACAAGAGAACAAGAGAAAAGGGCAGAAGGCAAGAGCACACATACCACTCATTCCGATTTTAAGAGCAATTTCAACTACTTTTCACTTGACTGTCTCAAAGTCATAGCGCCACCTTGTGTTTACTCTCCGGAAATGCTATGAGGGCAGATAGTGCAAATAGGCTTTGTCATTGAATTTTTTTAAATATTTAAGCAGCCAAACAAAATGATGCTAAGCTTATGACTAAGTTGATAACAACACAGATCACACGCTGATAACGACACAGATCACATGCTCAGTTTGGAAATATAAAAGTAAAAACTGAGAAATCAACGTGGCATTAGAAAAATAAACCACCTAAGTTTCAAACAAGAATACTCAAGGGAAAAAAGAGGCAAAACCTAAATGTTACTACAAGAGGAAAATAAATTGAAAAACATTTTAGAACCTCATTAATAGACAATCTGCAAAATTTGACAAGAGTAAATTATCAAATAAAACAAAGAGTTTACACTTGAAAATCCAGGAGATCTAATTATAAGATTTTTTTCATTACATAGCCTCTGCCCTTAATCCCTACAGACAGCATTATAACAAAGCCTTGGTATATTAACAGCTCCCAGTAAATTACATACATCTGATTATGTGAGAGTGTGACAACACTTTTTCAGTGTTTTGTAACTTAGGGAGACTTCCTTCATGACTAATGCTGCTGCTTCTATGTTGACAATAATACCAACATCGCGCACAGCTTAGTCACTCAGTCGTGTCGACTCTTTGCAACCACATGGACCCACGAGGCTCCCCTGTCCATGGGGATTCTCCAGGCAAGAATACTGGAGTGGACTGCCATGCCCTCCTCCAGGGGATCTTCCCAATGCAGGGATCAAACCCGGGTTTCCCCCAACTGCAGGTGGATCCTTTACTGTCTGAGTCACCACGGAATCCCAGCACCAACATTACTTACACCAATACAGGCTTTCCGGATATCCGAGGGTGTCTCAGCACTTCTGACATTGTCTCTTTTGTTTCCTCCATTCTTTCTTCATCACTTGAATCCACAACAAATATTACCCCATAGGACTCAGCATAGTAATTCTTCCAGATTCCTCGAATTCTTTTTCCACCTCCCAAGTCGAAGATGGTGACTTCAAACTTTCCTTGTCTAAGGTCAATTTTGGAAAATCCAACAGTAGGAGCTACATCTTCAGGATACTCTGTTTCAAATGAAATAATCAGATGAAAAAGAATCTTTAGACTTCAAATTAGTAATGCTAATTTAACTTCACAACTTAAATGGCATAAGTGTATTATTCATCATATATTAGTACTAAATAGAATGTTTATTATTTGTTTACATAATAAGCATTACATCTAAGCAAACTGGTTTGGAGGAAAGATAGATACTACAAAATATCCAACTAGAATTTACACTCTTGCAGACAGGGCTTTTTGTTTGCTTGTTGATTTTATTGCTATAACCCCAGGTCCTAAAATAATGCCTACAATATAACAGGTACTTAATAAGTATTTGTAGAATAAATAAATGAACCTTTGCTTTAAGGCTACAGATTCTCCAAATTACAAACAATAAAGATTTCAACTTTCAACACCACAGCCATCCCCAGGGACCATTACAACCCATGTAGACTTATAAAGAAAAACTAAACATTTAGAGAATAATTTAAAACTAAACAATGGGAGAAGCTATGATGAGCATGGCAGAAAGCAAAGACGAACCAGAAAGCCTCTGGATGAAAGTGAGAGGAGCATGAAAAAGCTGGCTTGAAACTCAACATTCGAAAAACTAAAGTCATGGCATCTGGTCCCATCACTTTATGGCAAATAGATGGGAAAACAACGGAAACAGTGACAAACTTTATTTTCTTGGGCTCCAAAATCACTGCAGACGCTGACTGCAGCCACGAAATTAAGATGCTTGCTCCTTGGAAGGAAAGTTACGACAAACCTAGTGTTTATGTGTTAAGTCACTTCAGTCATGTCTGGCTCTTTGCGATCCAATGGACTGTAACTCGCCAGGCTTCTCTGTCCATGCAAACTTAGACATCATATTAAAAAGCAGACATCACTTTGACCACAAAGGTCCATATAGTCAAAGCTATGATTTTTACAGTGGTCATGTATGGAGGTGAGAGTTGGACCATAAAGAAAGCTGAGCACCAAAGAACTGATGCTTTGGAACTGTGGTGTTGGAGAAGACTCTTGAGAGTCCCTTGGACTGCAAGGAGATCAGACTAGTCCATCCAAAAGGAAACCAATCCTGAACATTCATTGCGAGGACTGATGCTAAAGCAGAAGCTCCAATACTCTGGCCACCTGATGCCAAGAGCCAGCTCAGGGAAAGCATCCTGATACTAGAAAAGATTGAGGGCGGGAGGGGAAGGGGGCAGCAGAGGGTGAGATGGCTGGATGGCATCACCGACTCAGTGGACATGGGTTTGGGCGAGCTGTGGGAGACAGTGCAGGACAGGGAAGCCTGGCATGCTGCAGCTGATGGGGTCACAAAGAGTTAGACACAACTTAGGAACTGACAACAATGAAGAGTATGGGACCATTCCTTTTTAATTTGAATAAAAGCTATAATTGGAATAAAGAAACTTTCAAGGACAGCTTGTAAATGTAAAGAGTAGATTTTATTTTTTTCTACAAGAAAAGAATACAGGATATTTTCATAAACTATAATTGAATTGCTTTGTACGTCTGCATATGACAGCACTAAGAAGTACAGGATATATACAATTATAACTGCCAAAGAATGGTAATGACAATAAGAGATTAAAAAGATCACTGAGGTTCAAGCCTTGAACTAGGAGCTGAAACCTAGACCTTAAAGTGAGGTTGAATTTAAACAGTCAGATCAGTGATCTAAGTAACAGAAATGGAAAAAGCAAGACGTACAAACAAGTTGAACATTGTAGTTGGAGCAGATCTTTAATAGTGAATGTACACTGAAGAGGGTTCTGAAGACAGAGAACTGGGAGCCACGGAAGGCATTTCAGCAGACCAATAATATAATTGAGATGACTAAAAAGGAAAAAGGAAACAGAAGTCACTCAGTCATGTCTGACTCTTTGCGACCCCATGGACTGTAGCCTACCAGACTCCTCTGTCCATGGGATTTTCCAGGCAAGAGTACTAGAGTGGATTGCCATTTCCTTCTCCAGGGGATCTTCCCGACCCAGGGATGGAACCTGGGTTTCCCGCACTGCAGCAGACTGTTTACCCTCTAAGCCATGAGATGACTAAAGTAGTCCTTTATTGAGATTCATATTTGCAAAAGTCTCTAGAACTGACTGAAAATGAGAGTGAAAGTCGCTTTTTAGAGAGGTAAGAAAACAAAACAAAAACAGAAGCACAGCAAGAGAGAAGGCATGAGCAATGAACGATGCAACAAGTGACCCAACGGTTACAGAGAAGAGTTCAGACTTGATATCTAACTCCTCCATGCATTCACCACTGTGGTTGTTACTATTTAGTTGCTAAGTTGAACCCAGCTCTTCGTGACCCCAGGGACTACAGCCCGCCAGGCTCCACTGTCCACGAGATGTCTCAGGCAAAAATACGGGAGTGGGTTGCCATTTCCTTCTCCACATCATCATGGAATTCACAACAAATATTACTCCCCTGAACTTTGTTTATAAAGTTAATACAGTGACCACACACTACATGAGGATTTCAAAGGTAAATCAAACTTAAATAAAAGCTCAGTTCCTCAGTTGTACTAGCCGCATTTAAAGTACTCAAGAGTCACATGTGACTGGTGGCCCACCCTACTGAACGGAGCCAATGCAGAACATGTCCGTCACTGCAAACAGCTCTACTGAACCACACTGGTTTAGAGGGTATTATCATTCCCACAGTCAGCAAAACATTTGCTACTACAAAAATAAATCTGATAGGCATTTACTTCTAGGCTTAGGTATGACTGAGAGACTTGCAATGTACCACTGCCTCTCAGCAAGCATCTTACCACAGCTTAGACAGCTCCCTAGAAAGTTAATAAAGACAATCACAAGTCACATTTTTAAAAGACCTGCCTTATCTAGAGGGAGGAAAAAACAAGTTTAGAAACAATATAAGCAGACATATATTCCAAAAACAGAATTATACTAGACATTTAAAAATGTGGATCTAGTCCAGACCAGAATTTGTTTCACAGTTAACACAGACAGCTGTCTTAAAGTACAAATTGAAAGGTACCCTCCTCCCCGAAATTATCAGCGAAAATAAGTCAACTGTCCTGAGGAAGAAATAAGAGAAATAACATACTCAGAATACCTACTCAGTACCAGAACCTTGTCGGGGATTAGAATGTAAATATGAATAAAATAGGGGGGCTCCCCTGGTGGCTCTGACAGTAAAGCATCTGCCTATAATGTGGGAGACCCAGGTTTGATCCCCGGGTTGGGAAGATGCCCTGGAGAAGGAAATGGCAACCCACTCCAGTACTCTTGCCTGGAAAATCCCATGGACGGAGGAGCCTGGTAGGCTACAGTCTATGGGGTCGCAAAGAGTCGGACACGACTGAGCGACTTCACTCACCCTCAAAGAACATCCAGTACACTTCAGAGAGACATAATATTAATGGAAATAACACAAGAACCTATATGTTCTGTGAATAAGTCTGGAGGGGACAGTATAAACGTGTAATAAACTACATGGTTATCTCCTAGTCAAATTCATTTGCTGAAACCCTAATCCCCAATGGTGATGGTATAAGGAGGTGGGGCCTTTGGGACATAACTAGGTTTCAGTTCAATTGCTCAGTTGTGTCTGACTCTATGTGACTCCATGTACTGCAGCATGCCAGGCTTCCCTGTCCATCACCAACTCCTGGAATCTACTCAAACTCAAGTCCATTGAGTCAGTGATGCCATCCAACCATCTCATTCTCTGTTGTCCCATTCTCATTCTGCCTTCAATTTTTCCCCAGCATCAGGGTCTTTTCCAATGAGTTAGTTCATCACATCAGGTGCCCAAGTTTCAGCTTCAGCATCAGTCCTTCCAATGAATATGCAGGACTGATCTCCTTTAGGATTGGTTAGATCTCCTTGCAGTCCAAGGGACTCTCAAGAGTCTTCTCTAACACCACAGTTCAAAAGCATCAATTCTTTGGTACTTAACTTTCTTTATGGTCCAGCTCTCACATTCATACATGACCACTGGAAAAACCATAGCTTTGACCAGATGGACCTTTGTGGGTAAAGTAATGTCTCTGCTTTTTAATATGCTGTCTAGGCTGGTCATAGCTTTTCTTCCAAGGAGCAAGCGTCTTTCAATTTCATGGCGGCAATCACCATCTGCAGTGATTTTGGAGCCCAAGAAAATAAAGTCTCTCACTGTCACCACTGTTTCTCCATCTATTTGCCATGAAGTAACAGGACTTAATGCCATGATCTTGGTTTTCTGAATATTGAGTTTTAAGCCAACTTTTTCACTCTCCTCTTTCACTTTCATCAAGAGGCTCTTTAGTTCCTCTTCACTTTCTGCCATAAGGGTGGTGTCATCTGCATATCCAAGGTTATTGATATTTCTCCCAGCAAGCTTCTTTTTTCCTTAATTTTTTTTTCATTTATTTTATTAGTTGGAAGCTAATTACTTTACAATATTGTAGTGGTTTCTGTCATACATTGACATGAATCAGCCATGGATTTACATCTCCCAGCAATCTTGATTCCAGCTTGTGCTTCTTCCAGCCTGGCATTTCACATGATGCCCTCTGCATATGAGTTAAATAAGCAGGGTGACAATATACAGCCTTGACATTCTGCTATCCCAATTTGGAACCAGTCTGTTGCTCCATGTCCAGTTCTAACTGTTGCTTCCTGACCTGCATACAGGTTTCTCAAGAGACAGGTCAGATGGTCTGGTATTCCCATCTCTTGAAGAATTTTCCACAATTTATTGTGATCCACACAGTCAAAGGCTTTGGCATAGTCAATAAGGCAGAAATTGATGTTTTTCTGGAAATTTCTTGCTTTTTCGATGATCCAGCAAATGTTGGAAATTTGATCTCTAGTTCCTCTGCCTTTTCTAAAACCAGCTTGAACATTTGGAAGTTCACAGTTCTTGTATAGATGAAGCCTAGCTTGGAGAATTTTGAGCATTATTTTACTAGAGTGTGAGATGAGTGCAACTGTGTGGTAGTTTGAGCATTCTTTGGCATTGTCTTTCTTTGGGATTGGAATGAAGGCTG